TGTTGTTTCTGTCTGTCTGTCTGTCTGTCTGTCTGTCTGTCTGTCTGTCTGTCTGTCTGTCTGTCTTACTTTTTCTCAGCACAAAATGAACATTATTGTGTCTGTGTGCATCTTTTTACACTTGCAAAAACAAACACGTTTTCTCCTCTACGATTGGTGGCCGTCTTTCGATTGTAGCAAGTTTACTATTTACTCCTCTGTCGAACCCAGCAGGGGGGTTTAACGACAGGGGTGACTGACACTCACAGTTGCACCACAAGGCATTCAGCGAGCGGTAGGACGTGCTGTCTTTTGTTAATCTCTCTTCCATACACGAATCTGTGGATTTCGTCTATGTGTGAGTGCCTGGCAAGTGCTCTTGATGATGTTTCTCCCTTCTTTCATTTCAAACGTCTATCGTCCTATATGTCTCCTCCTTTTTTGTACGGTACTCTCAGGTGACACCTCTAGTCTTCGGCACCTATATGATATGACGTATTTCTGTTGCAAGTGTCTGGACGTACAACCCATATAAAACCATAACATTGAATATAACCAAACAAAACTAAACCCTGTCTTGCACGTTCCCTGTGCTAAGGCACCGGTATTGTGTACATTATGTTTCTGACTACTCAACCTTAAATTTAAATTGTATATGTTGACGCCCAGTCATCAATTTTCTCCCTCTTTTGTCTTCCTTCCTAACAGGAACCTCAACGCTTGCCCTGAGCCTGTCATGTGATCAGGTTGACCTCTGACCTCCCTGGTCACTGTGGGCTCGGTGGTCCGCAGTCAGCGCAGACGGTCAGGCGGTCCGTTTGATGGAGGCAGACGTAGCCATCCAGCACCAGGCCGGAGTTGACCAGTGGTCACCCATGGCCGAAGCAGCCTATGCCACCTCCGCCACTCAGGTCGGCTACTTCCACAGCGTCAGCGGCAAGATGCCAGGCGGCGGCGGGGAGGCGAGAGGGACGAACCCGGCGGTGGCGTTATCTCGACGCCAGGCGGCAGCAGCGGCCAAGTCGCGTCTGCGAGCGTCCCGGTCCTACGACGATGAGCTGGAGGTTGTGGCAGTTGCGCCCGACGCCGGCGCGGCGAGATCTGCCAAGGCTAAGGCATCCAAGGACGACATGAGCCTGCAGCAGGCGGTGGGAAAATCCCGCCTACCTGGACTAGCCAGACCGTCAGGGTCACCCAGCCCGGCCAACTCCCCGTCGCTCAGTCACAGCGGCGGCGGCGGCAACACGCGAATCAGGACGGACAACAAGTCACGGAAAACTGCCGCCGAGTGTGGTCTTGAAGGGAGGAAGAGCAACTCGAAAGAGAGACCTGGAGGCGGCAGACAGACGCGGGGACAGCGCAGGAGACACCGTGGCGGTGAAGGAGGTGGGAAGAGCGGCGGCAGTGGGAGCGAGCAGAAGACACGCGGTGCTGAAAGCGCCCCGGCCCCTGCCACTGTGGTGCACACCACTCACGTGGGCGGGGACGACATGCCTGTACAATATTACCTCAAGGACACTCCCCCGGGACTCAAACCCGACTCACCTGCCACGCACCCGAACAGTCTGGATCTGGATAGCAGCTCTCCCTCCTCCTCTATGGTGATTCTTGAGGTCAAGGACGGACCGAGGCTCTTCTACAAACCTTCCCACCACATGCTGTCCGACTCGGCCCTGAGCGAAGACGGTTCCGCTCGACTCTCTTCCTGCCTCGCGGCGAAAGTCAGACGCGATGACCCTGTCAGTGCCTCGCCACAACAGCAGCAGCAAATGGATGCGAAGCCCAGCGCCAGCGTGTCGGCCCGTGCAGCGTCGCCTCAAGACAGCTTCACGGCATCATCACGCGGCGGGCTGTCCAAACCTTCGCCCCTCGCTGTGTCCGAGTCGCCCTCGTCCTCTCCCTCTGTGGGTCGCGTGACCATCCCACATGACGAGATCGTGGTGGGCCCAAGGAAGCACAGACTGCAAGCAGCCCCACACCCGGCTTATGGGGAGGATGATCTCTACGTGTCCGAAGACACGCCCATCGCCTCCTTCCCGTCACCCAGGACCAGGCCGAAAGCCACGACCTCCTCCTCGCTTCCCTCAGCCACGAGAAAGTCGCGGCTGAAGAAGAAGTCCTCCACGAGCCGCGACGATATCTCCGCCGACTCGGACCTCAAAGTGTCTGCTTCCCACTCTGCCGACTTCGCCGACCATTTCTGCAAGGGTCACTCAGTGTCCAGGCTTCCGGGCCCGAGGTCCGGCATTCCCAAACCCTCTAGCAGTTCCAGAAGTGTACCAGGTGCCGAGGGTTCAGCGCTCGTCCCGAGAAACGTGCATGGCGTGGACAGTCCTCTGGCAGCGAAGTCTTCCAGCGACACCAACTCTGTGGGCTTCCAGAACATGTCGTTTGTGATGCAACAGAAGGCCGGGGTCAGGCATGACGACATCGTGGTGGGGCCTCGCAACCGGTCCGAGGACATCTCGTCGCCAGCCGGGGCAGATGGGCAGCCTCTGGTGTCAGGCAATGGGGAGTTCGGACCTCCTCAAGATGTGGAGACTTCATCCGAAACGACGCCTCTGATGTCCGTAAAAGGTGGCCGTGATGCGAAGGATGTTTTCCCTCACGCCAAACAGGGTTGTGGTGGTGGAGGGCATTTGGAAGCCCTTGAGATTTCAGGTGAGGCCTGTAGTGTACAATCTGAAGACAGAGGTCAGAGTTCACGGTCTCGCTTGTCCGGCAAACCGCAGCCCAACACTGTCATGACCTGTGACACCAGTGGTACTCCGCCTTTCGCGTGGGCTTCTTCTGGGGATGCCTTGGAGTGTGGTGACGTCACTGAGGAGTGTATGACGACGCCTGTGACGCCAGAGAAGGGTCGATGGCGGCCTAAGGAGAAGCAAAAAGTTCGTAGAGGCAAGCGCGAGGGAAACGTGTCCACCGAGTCTGGTTACGCCACCGATATGGCTCGGGCCGACCCCCTGGACCTCGTCCACAGCCCGGTCTCAGCGACACCTGAAATGTTGGGTGGATCTGACCACGCCAATTTCCCTACTGTGTCTTCTCCTCCCGCCAAAACCAAGAGCAGCAGGTCCGGCATGTCCAAGTCCTCACAGCAGCAGCACGGCTCTGCCGAGGCGAAGTCGTCGTCGTCGTCGAAGCCGTCGAAGCCGTCGAAGTTGTCACAGCCCAAGAAGCATTACCACGCCCCGCCCACTCGCCTCAACATGCTGTCAAACCTGCCGGTTCCCATCAGCCACGACCCGCCCCCAGCGAGGAAAGCAGCTGTAGCAGCCGACACCAGCAGACTGCCTGTGGCTGATGGCGGGCGTTCTGAGGGTGTCCCGCCACCGCTGCTGGCGACCCAAGCCGTCACCTCCGTGCCTTCCCAGCCCCGCCCGGACGGGGAGTTGTCAGACGTCGCACTGTCAAGTCCCGCCCACAAGAAAGTGACTGCCAGTGACGCGCTACCTCGGGGCGGCTCCCCACGGACCAAGCGGCGGCTGGCTGCTCAAATGTCGCGCGAGGGAGGGGAAGATCTCTCGGAAGTCGCCAGTGACAAGCAACAAGGTCTCCAGGCTACAAACACTGCGTCAGGGAGTGGTAAATCGTCTCCTGCTCGTAAAAACAATAACAACAACCACAATAACAACAGCCACAACGGCGACGGCAGTGGAACACAGAAAGATACACCAGCAGCCAAAATTTTCTCCTCTCCTGTTCGACAACTGGACCAGTCACGTGACACGGACGAGGAAAGTAGCACCGCCTCCTCCGCCCACGTGACGCCGGTCAAGCCCCGCCTCCACCGCTCCGCGGAGCACCTGCCGGGCCAAGCCAAGCTCTCCGTCTTCAACTCCACGGACAACATCCAGCACGTAGACGGCCACCAGCAACCGCACCACCTCCCCTCCCACAAACAGACCAGCCCGCACAGAAGATTCAAACCAGACTCTTCTTCCACCACCACCACCCCAACCGGGATGTCTGCCTTCCCCTCACGTTCCCCCTCCTCCTCCTCCACCACCATGACCACAAACGTCCCCGCCTCCCCGTCCCCTCTCCTCCTCTCGTCCTCCCCTTCCTCGTCACCGTCTAGAATCAAACGCTCCCACCTCCCTGTCCTTGTGGACAGCGTGAGCCCGCTGAGGAAGAAATCGTACGACGGCCTCTCAGGCCCGCCGCCTCCGGCCGCGATCGGCATTGTTCGGAGGGCGTCGGACCGGGCCGAGGTGTGCCGGCGGGGGTCGGAGAGGGCACTGCTGGTGCGGCGGAATGACCCGAGCGTGGAGGACCTGAAGAAAGCCACGAGTCTGAAGGAACTCTGCCAGTCCATGGCCTCGCTGCTGCAGATTGGTGAGTCAGTGTGCTTATTTGTTTTGTCTGTCAGTCG